CACCATTTTGCGTTTCAACTCCGGTCTCCTAAAAACAACAAGGCTCAAACATTAGACACCAAAAAAGGGTTTGGTTTTGGTCCTGGATCCATGTGGGGTCATAGTAGATCGCTTGGGGCAGGGTGTGCAACCTGGAGGCCCAATCATATGGCTCACCTTGAGCCGTGGACACTGGCGTCATGTTCAAAGTTTATCTCCAAACAACTGTTGCAGGGGTGATTGCATATTAGCCATAAAACAATGGAAACATTGTTGGGATTGGTTGAACTATTTTTTCCGGCTACCTGTTCCTTGCTAGGCGTGCTGAAAACCTCATTTGAGGTAGCAATCGACGGAATGCAGGGCACGAGTTCACATCAAACTCTGATAGCCTGTCAAGATCAGACCGAGCCGGGCTGGAAATCCAAGGGAGCTCAGGAAGCTCTTCTGCTTCATGCTCTCGGCTTGCAATCTTGAGCAAAAATTTGACAGTCCTATAGGTGCTTTCGACTGGATTGTTCCGAAGCAAATAGTCTGCTAAGGCCAACAGTTTCTTTCTTCGATCTTCTTCGAAGACCTTGAGTGGTCGAGCATCTGTTGGAATTGGGCCCACTAAGGGCATGAAATTGTAGGGAAAGACCACCATTGGAGCCTTAGATAAACACAGCACAACACCACACCTTGGTGTAAACATTCTGGTTCCACAAACAACAGGTCGCCTGACTGAGATTCGCATCGCTGGCAAAGCGTTTCACCAGAACAATGACATCGCAAGGGTGTTCTGCCCAGTCATTGCGCCCTGGTCCCTCCACCACAATTGTGGTCCCAGGTGGAAGGTCTGACAGGGCCAGGTGTTCAAGCATCAAGAGCCATGCAAAACCCAAACCAGCCTCGTCTCCTCACAAAGAGGAAATGGTGGGCCCCAGTGCAATCGTCTCGCAGTCCTCCTGACAATGTTACTGGCGCCCTCTCCAACCTTAGTTCAGAAGTGTGAGAACCTAGGACCTATGCCATGACAACATGTTGTACACCAGAGCAGTTGTGTAACCATTGCTTCCATGGCCGCACGCTTCGAACAACATCCACTTCGATCTTGGCGGTGCCCAACCATTTGCTAAGGTTCAATTTGCAAACAAGATCTTGTAGTTTCCTCAGACGATCCAGTTATCATTCACTTAAACCTGTGCACATGCACATGGTAAACGGCAAGGGCAAGGCTCTCTTGGACATCATCATCATCTGCTAGAACATCTATCCATCGAGTGGCCCTGCTGATCACTCCGTAAAGTTGGTCTTGGCTGCATGAGAGTGAAACCAAAACAACATGTGAGCCAGTTCTAGTTCTGAATGACTGCAGTCCAGACAAGGCTCCAATGGCACAATGTGTGTGCCCAACCCGGCTCATGCAAATGCCTGTCATCTCCAAGCCCTTACTCAATAGTAACCATGCCAAGAACTTCATGAAGGTATTGTTCTTGCACTCCTTCACTGTATTGTCCACCTCTGACTCAATCAAATAAACACAAACGCTTCATTCCGCTGGTTTAATGTGTCTTATTGTGTCTTCAAACATGCTAGCTGAATGCGAGCAAAGACACCCATAACAAGATGCGCCGTGGTGGCTCCTTTCCAAGCTCTCGACAAATGCGAACGACCTTCTCAAGGTCTCTGCTCAAGCATTCTGCCACCATCGACGCGTCCCCTGCCACGCGCACATCTATGACATGGAGTGTCATGATCACATTGTGGCACCAGATTCCTTCAATCTTAGTGCGAGGGCGGTCGAACTTTGCCAGCGTTTTTGTTTGGATCCCCCCTCGACATCGAGGTAAAGCCCACTTGCTTTGATCCATGCCATCCTGAGTCAACAGACAAGTCAGTCCACTGAAGTGCGCCCTTGCTGCATGCAACGCTGCATTGCATACAAGAGTCAGCATGAATGAAGAGGCAAGCATCAGCATCAGTCAAGGGAGATGCACCCTGACCAAACCGAATGCTACCTGCTTATTAAGCAGTCTCCTGTGCTCAAGAGAAGCCTTGCCTGGAACCACGATTCAAGGTGCCTATCTTCACTGACAGCCTGTATATGTTCCTTGTATTGTTTTGCTACCTCGAACTTGTCAAGGGCATCCTCAGCACAACTATTCACAAGTGCTTCAAACAGAGTTGGGCATTCCTAAAATGAACTTAAACTCTTGTGGTCAGGTTTCCTTGCAGTCACGAAATGCGTCCTTGTAGGCTGAGCAATCATCACAGGCTGGAAAACTACTCGGGCTGGTGAACCGCAAGATTGCTGCCCATTTCATTTTATATCTTCGGACAAAGTGCTGGTACCTCAGCCACACTTGACACAATGCTGATACCCCAACCTTGGAACCAGTGAACTGAACTTAGTGCAAGCTAGAGTCGAAACCTTCATTGGGACTTGAGAGAAGAGCATGCGCAGGTTCCCAGGTGGTAAGAAACGTGTTGGGAGCAAAGAGGGGTCTTTGGCCCAATTCGTGTCCACCAGTCTCAGATGAGAGTTGACTCACGAAACGTTTGGTTCCAAGAACATCCACTTTCACATCACATCAAAATGCCAAGGGTCTGTGTCCACAGCATTTTGTGGCCCAATATGTGAAGTTTCAATTCAATGTCCGATTCTATACCCTCCTTTGGCACAATGATTTCGGCCCCATCATCAATGGAGGCATCTGACTCGCCTAAAAGGTCAGCCAAGCAACCTCAACACCTGGCTGAGGATTCTCACACTTCACACTGCCAAGACTCCATCTTCTTCTGCATGGCTGCGATGACCAAAGTTCACCACCACCTTTGAATACTGATTCGATGAACCCTTCATGGATTCTCGAAGCCTGGCAGCTCTTTGAAACCTGAGTGAGCCCAACCCAAAAGAATCCCACACAGGCACACCGCATTGTATCAAGCTGAGAAACTTTGTGGGCAGCATGCCGCCTTGATCAATGTAGACCTTAAGGAAAAAGGCGTCCAGCTTCATGTACTTCAAAGGAGTCCTTTTGTTCGCCTAAGTGTCAAAAGTCACCAGCTAGCTTGCACACCTTTCCTGATTCAACCAATGGTTTATTGCTGAGTTGCTCCCCCATAGCATCGATATCTTTTGTCTAAATGCCCAGATGAAGCAGTTTGGAATCGCTGTGGTCTGATGCCCATCAAACAGGCCATGCAGTGCCTTGAAACCTTCTTCCCGCAGAATCGCCATTGACGATTGCCAGGTGTCGTGCCACCCATGCAGAAAAGAATCTGAGCGCAGACATCTGAAACTTCAGGCTACTCAACAGCACAAGAACTTATACTCTGAACTTGAAAGTAAGGGTCTGACAAATCTATCTTGATTGGGCTTCTCAAGCGACCAGAAAGCATCTAGGAACTCCAGCACTTCATCTAGCTGTTGCTTCTTGAAGCAGCCCTTGCCGCAGATGCAAGGTCGCCTCATCACATCATCTACTCTTGAGCGATCTTTTCCATTGTCACAATGCCTCAGATCAATCATGGGTTTAAACATGTTTATATTATCACCATCCAAAGCTTGCTACCACCATCAGAAGCATAACCAATTGAAAACGAAGGTGCTTTCTCCTTTCCACAGGATTTGCATACATCGTTCGCAGTCTGTTGTCATAGTTTGGCCTTTTCCGTGGAGGTTCTCGAGGTTGTTTAAATGAAGAACTGGATAACGAGTGTCCTTGAAATTCTCTAAGCTTTGCCAGCGACAAAGACACCTCGCTGGAGCTAGGAGTCACCTCTGAATTTTGGTCCCTTAAGGACGCAAAAAACTTCTTTCGCACATCGCTGGCAGTGTCTGACATGGCACCACCCCCTTGATGCTCAGATGGCTGTGGGGGATCAAATAAAACGAAATGGGGATCAAACGCAACGAAATGGACATATATATATATATATCCTGGTGGTGCGGAACTGGAATCTGTTTGAACATCTCTTCAAAAGAACAGAAGGGCTTTGACAACCTTGCTGTTTTAGTTATGCACCGTCCTTCCAACTCCAATTCTTCCCAAAGATCCAGCGATCGGTAAGACAGTACAGCTCCAAAGCGCAGCAAGATCAACGCCACCGAGGCCCAGCGCCCGCAAATCAACGCCACCTCACCCGCACAAGCTCGGGCACAACAGCTGGCTGCGCAGGCACCACATGGCCAGACGGTGGCTGGGATAGTTGGTTGAAGGTGTTTGGGAGACTCAGAGGGAGGTTCGATGATGGGCCGTGCGGTCCATTGGAGCCGAATTGATAGTGCTGGTGTGATGTCCACCTATACGGTGTGATGTCCATTGGCAGACTGCGGGATTCAAGTTTGCATCCAAGGCATGGCTAGAAGCCTCGGCCCCTTGTGTGTCAACAATTTTTTTCTTTTTATGTCTGCCATGCGTGGAAAAGTTGGTGCATGATATCTATGTATAGCAATGTGCATGACTGTTGATTTAATGAAAGCCCCCGTATGGAGATGTAAAACCATCCTGGCAGGGGAGTCTAGAGGAGAGTGGCTTCCTTCTCTCATGCTCTGCCCTAGCACTGCCCAAGTACGGGGACAGAGGGTCGTGGCTTTTGGGGGCCGGGTGAAACCACACCGAAGCAAAATCAATGGAAGACTTGATACCACGTGGCCACCCTCGGGAAATGGATTGGGAACCGCGGTGAAAACGACGCTGGATGGGTTGATGTGGCCGTGTTGGCATTTGGGGCCTACAGCGAAGGTTGGTCGATCAAGATGGAACTGCAAGAGGCAAAGTGACCTCCTTGAGGAAGAAAAAGGCAATACTGTGATACCATGGCAAGATGCATTCGAACGATCTCAAGCAAAGGATTATCATGAGATCATAACCTGGCGTCACATAGTAGTATGGATGTGGATCAAAACCTGTGGTGCCATTCTCGGGGTAGCAGCTAGCCCCCTTTTCAAGGGCCTTCTTTGGGGTAGGTACCAGGGTTTGGAGCCACACCCATCTACGAAGCGGGCTTTCCGGCAGGCATTGCCTGACTCACCCATGGAAGCCCTGGTCCGAGACCTCCTAGCAGCCAACCCAACTGTTTCAGAGGAGCAGATCCGGCAGTTTCTGCAGCAACGCTTCCGCGAGTATGACACCAGTTTTCGATCACCATTGACCGAAACGACAGAGAGCGGTTGGGAGGGACGGAGCGGCTCGCTGCCGGTGGCGGCTCGCTGCCATTGTGGGAGATGTAAGATTCAATTTCAGGTTGCCAGAGGAGAGAAGCCCATCAGATGCCACTGCCCCAGTTGCAGACATTTCCATTCCAGTTCCTTCGCGGCATATCTTTCGGTGGAGTCACCCGACTGGCGTGCTGCTGGTCTTCAGGTCCACCCAGACTCCTGCAAGGTTTTGGGGCAGGTGAAGCGATTCATGTGTGGCCATTGCTATACCAAGTTGGGCACAGAAGCGATCGATTCGGGCCGCTCTTACTGTTGCTTGGGGTCTGTAGATGATGAATCCATCCCAGATAGCCTAGCCTTAGAATGGCAAAGCTCCTTTGAAGACTGGCACCAGACCTCTGCAGTCCGCTGGTGGCATGCGCAGCCTTCAGCGCTTTGTGGAGTGTCCCGGCGCACTGGCCTTGTGAAGGGCGCCTGTGCCTGTGGGAGCTGTAGCTTTGAAGCCTTGCTGCTGCCTGGGGAGTTGCAGCACTGCTACTGCAAGTTGTGTCGACGCCTCTCAGGCTCCGTCGCTCAAACCTGGGTCCCGGCCTCCTTGGAGCGCTTCACCTGGCGAAGCTCCGAGCCCTCCACGTTGGCCTTACTGCGCACCACGGGTCACGGGCAGCGGCACTTCTGCCGGAGCTGTGGAAGCTGCTTGACCATCGTCTACGACTCGCAGCCGGACTGCATTTGGCCGGCCGCAGGGACCTTGGAAGACACGCAGGTGGTGGATCAAGCGATGTGGTATCGAGTGATTCACATTTGTTGCTCGATGATGCAAAGGTGGTACAAGCTGCCTGATGATCAGCTACCTCGACTGAAATATGCTGGGTAGGCATGAAGTATCAGGAAAGGCTGAGATCCACCTTTGAGACTTGCGCCTTTACTTCAGTGGACAAAAAGTGCCCTCCTGTGCTTCCAAGTTGTAGACAGAGCAGGTCAACTGCAGAACTGTTTCAACCAGGTGGGCGAACTTCGTCAAGCTTTGCCGCCGACCTGAAGAGCAGGGCGGCTACCCGGTTCGCCACTGGTTCGCCCTCGTTGATCCACGGAGGAGATTCCACAATCCTTGGGTTAGCAGCTAGGGCGCCGCATTGCTTTGGTTTGAACGAATGGTTTGTGGGAGTTTCAGTCGTGGTTTTCATGGTCCATTTGATTGGTGCCCACACCGGCCCACCCAAACCATGCGAACACATCCTAGCGAAGGACGAATCGGACAATTGGATACATTTGGTTTCGGTGAAGTGTAGACAGTTTCTTCCTCTTTCTTCCAGGATCTTTGTGTGCTTTGTCACTTATCCCACCCTGTTTATGGCCGCCTCGAATCATCTGCTTGGACCAAACGCCAGGCTGCTGTGGACTTTCGCAGTGCGCGGGCTCCGAGGGTTGGGACGCATCGAACCGGATCAACCGGCTCCAAGGACCTAAACATCCAAAACGACCCGAACAAAACAGAGGTTCCATGCTGAAAAATCGGAACATAGCCAAGCTTTGTTTCACTTCCGCCAGTTCCTTAGGTGTACCTGTCGACATGATACCCATCCTCGCCCCCAAAGATGAGACATGCCAAAGTCGATGACCACCAGAGATGCACCATGCCATAGCCTTGTACATAGGGGGACATTCTGAGGTAGGGTTTTGTTTTTCAACAGCTTGGCCATTGATGGATGGGAGTGTCCTCTTTCTAGACAAAAGTCGAGCAATAGTTCAAACAGTTCTGTGGAGGGTGCCCTCTTGCCTGAGTCTGAGACATACCCATGAGATCCCATACAAGGACATGAAACGGACTCCTATAGAGACCTAGAAAGACCTTAGCAAGACCTGCTGGTTTGGGAATGGGGAACTCTTCGATCTCAGAGCAAATATACGTTTGTGGACGGCTAAGGGATGATCCTACCCTCATGCTGGTGTGATTCCTGAATTCTTCCATTTTCCGAACATGCACAATGATACCTAATCAGACGTCAGAAGGTTATTTGTTCGTCCGACATGAATGCCTCGTTTCGGGGACCAAAAAACCATGTAAAACCCGCTCCTTCTCCGCAGTGCTGCTCAGTGCCACTTCCCCGACGCTTCGGGCCACTCCACGCTTGTCCTCCTCCCGTGCCACTTCGGGTCTGTCCGAGGTGGACTCCTTGAAGATCGCACGCTTGTCGGTGCTCTTGAAGAAGTACATGAAGCTGAAAGGCCGAGAGTCTCACTGGGCGGAGCTCGCCAGCGGTTTCTCTGCGGAGCGGTTTCGGGTTGGCCCAGCGTCGAACGGCAAAGATCTTCCAGTTGAGCATCTAGTAGAGGCCTGATCACGCTTGTACAATTGTTGTCACTTACCTGGTGGCAAGGTCCAACGTACATTGGGCAGATGATGGCAGATGTACATATATATATATATAATTAGCTATAATATTATATATAATTAGCTATAATATTATATATATTATATATGTATATTGATGTAATTAATCTCTTCTGAAGAGCTTGAGGTATGTTGATGGACGATTTGGTTGTGGCTTTTGCTGTACATCCATACCAGTAGATCAAGGTTCATGGTTTGTAAGCTCTTTAGGTTGCCATGTCATAACAAGGTGCGACCTAGAGCCCGAGATGACATTGGTCAGATTCCTTGCATGACAACTGAGTGTTGAATGATCTAGCCAGTGGACCTTCTTCAGCCTTTGTTCATTTCCCATCTCCATGTTAATGTGGCGGCTGTGGCTGTGTGCCACCTGTGCCACCTTTGCTGCGCCGCGGCCATGGTCGAGCACAGTGATGCCTTGCGGAACCCGCCTGCGGGCTGCCCCGCCGGAAATCCAGGCGCTAAAGCGGCCGATTTGGACAACTGGAAGTGGTTGAGATGCAGGTCTAGAGTCGCCATTGAGTTGCTTTTTGTTGGGGGCATGGATCTTAGGTGGTTCATCTGGTTTTGGTACTGCATGATCATCCACTTCAAAGGCTTCTCTTGAGGAACGCACTGAGCCTCGAAGTTTGATGCGACAAATATTGATTTGTGGCTTCAATAATCGTTTGGAAGGACAGTCGATATATCATATTTGGCATGTCAAGTGGGGATTCATGTCATGATTCATGAACTGAGTGCCAGTGCCATTGACTTCTCAATTGACTTTGACTTCTCAACAAGAATAGGCGGCCCAAACTTCGTCGGTCTCGTTCTTGGGTGACTCCTTGCAGGTTCCAGAGGAGGGTGCTTCTTCGAAGCGAGCGTACTTCCGGCAGCTCTTTGACCAGAGCTGGGATAGCTTTTGCTCTGCCACTGAGATGATGAATGGGTGAAGTGGTGGTGGGACCTGTTGCTGTTTCCAGCATTCGGGTGGAAGACATGGGTACGAACGCCTTCGAAGTCTCAGTCCTAGTCTCATTGATTCGCTTCACCCCTCCAACTCCAACTGCCCTTAGCTGGTGTTTTCTCCCCAGACTCCGCGCCCGAGGAGCTCGACCAGGACTGCGTGGTCCTGGCGTCCCCGGCGCCCGGCGTGGTGGGTGCGGTGCTGCGCTCGGCTGGGCTGCTGGGCTGCGGCCTGACGTGCGTGGTGGTGCTCGGGGGCATGGGCATGGCGCGGCGGAACAAGGAGCGGGTCAGCCATCATGGTACTTCCACTTACAAGAACTTTAGGGAGGATGATTACTCAAAACCTTTGTGACTATTCCTTTGGATGTAGGCCTCCCTAGAAATCCCACAGGAGATCCGCATCTCGCAGCTACAACGGCGGCCAGACTGGGGTGTGTCCCTGGTGGTTGCGCCTTTGCAGGTTGGATGGCTTTGTTCGATTGAAGCAGCCGACGGCAGCGGAGTAGACGCGACGGCAGCCGACGGCTCGGACAGCAAGTGATTTTTGTTGAGCAGATTTGCCAACAAGTCTGTGCTCCAAGAGAGCAGGGTGGTTGATTTGTTCACCTCACTTTTGACCACATCGTGGAACGAACAGAGGAAATCCGAGGGGCACCCACCCGAAGCGATCGAGAAAATGCCTTCGACCGACATGGTGGGAAAACCTCCTGGGCCCTCAGGTTGTGACCTCCCAATCGAACGTGAGGTGTTCATGGAAGGCTAGCGCTGGGCACAACCCAAGCTCGGATACCCAGAATACCAAGAAACGTGTGTTCATAGAGAACCCTCCAACAGAAACTCTTTTTTGCACCCTTCCTTGAGCGAAACTTGAGATATAGACACATAGACAGACTACACCATATATTTATTCAGCCCTATAGTGTAGTGTATTGTGTTCTTATTCCTGAACAGAATGTGGCAGACCACCGCAAGTTTCGTTTCAGACCTTCGTGTCAATCGGAGGCAACAAAGAAACACCCACCGGTGCAGCCATCGATTTTCCGCAGCGACTTCTGGAAACGTCACCAGACACCAGGTCTGCAGACCTGACCCGTGCGGTCCCACAGGTGACACTTCCCGACTTCCTGGTGACCTTGCAGCATCACGGCTACCACCTCCTTCAGCTGGACCGTCCTCCTTGGCGCCTCGACCACCTCACGTCCTCGACCACCTCGCCGACGGCGCTGGTGGCGTCCAACGCGCCGCCGGACGCGCCGTGTCCGCTGGGTCAGGTGCCCCTGCCACAGCGGGTGTCGATGGCACTCTATGAACGGCGGCGGCAGCTGTGTGGCAAAAGCATGTGGCAAAAGCATGGGGCTGGGACCGGGTGGGATGTAGAAGGTTGGGATAGTGACATCATGTTGTTTTCCATGGATAGTGGCTCTTTTTGTACGAGAAGTAGGATTCACAATTAACATCCAAGAATATTCAGGATGAGTTGACTGACTGGATTTCTTGATTTGCTTAATCTTTTTGGCTAACAGAGGTTCAGGTCAGGTATGTCGGAGTTGTGGACCCTGCGTGCATGAATTCCCTGGTGAGCTGCACAAACCAGCTGCTTCATGAAGCAATAGACCGTGGAATAGATCCTCTGCTGATTCCAATATGGGCCAGTATGGCTGTTACCCACGCAAGTGTCTAATTGTCTTTCAACCACTGACCACCCAAAACCTGTCAGCTCTACCTCTCAGGAACTCCCTGTGCTTGCCTTGAGTGACAACAAGGGGGGTGGAGGGAGGCTGCCCTGGACTGCCTGATCCATTGATGGGCCATTGAGACTGCCCGATCCATCATTCCACCGTCCCCGCCACATCCATCTCCCTGCTCTGCGCGGCGCAGGCGGTGCTCCAGCGTTGGAATTCAATGAGCTGCGGGAGGCCGCGGCAAAATTCATATTTTGTCCGTTCCGTGGGGGAAGCCTGGCCACCTGGCTGGTGGAGGCCTGGAGGACGATTGCACTTTCCCGTGTTTTTGGAGCTGTGTTCATCTCTTCTTGGAGTGATGAATCAAGCAACAGCATTAGTTTGGCCTGATGTTTGTTGATGTTGATGTTGATGATGATGATGATGAGGAGGAGGAGAAGGAGGAGAATGATGAGGATGAGGATGAGGAGGATGAGGAATGGAGGAGGGGTTTGTATTTGTGGCGACAGGTTTGTTAGTTGGGCCTGCCAATTTCTTTGTTGTGAGTGCTGTGGTAGTTGGTGCGCGTTGTCAGCTCACATTCCAGGACTTATTGATCCATTTGAAGAGTCATCCGTCCCGCCTCAGGTGATCAGTTTTTGAGAACCACCCAACAGACCAGATCTAGAGTTCCTCAACAGCGGAATGCTTTGGGGTTTGCATCCAATTTAGGTTCTTGGCCATCGATGAACAAGTTATTGAAGGGATTATGGTCATGGGTGGAAAAGATATCACGCCAGCTTCGATGGGCGGAGAAGCATCATCCAGGATGGTAGGTGAACACCCACGCACCACCTGAAACGGCTGGCA